ATTGGCTGTGTAGGAACTGTTAATTATTATGTGAACGGACATTGGCTGTGTAAGAACTGTTGAATATACAATAAGTGCTCAGAATCTAATAACAAGTAAACTACTTAAGTTTCATGTTTACTTTAGAAACCACTATTTAGAGCTTGGCTAATATTACGTTACTGGAAACCAAAACTGAAAATTTGACGTAAGCCACATTACTTGTCAATTTACGTTTATTCTAGAAATTACCACTGTCAGTTTAAGGTAAGTTGCTCTGTCTATGTTTGTATTTGAAATATGAAAACTACGACATTACTTTCGTCTGCATGATACTTTTAAATATAATCTCTTATTTCTTAAAGTTACTGTACAATCATCGCCGCGTTGACATAAGTTACATAACTTATTCTTCCAAGTTTTTAGTGAAAGCCATCACAATTATTCACGTTTGTAAGTTAAGGTAGCAACACTCTAGTGGAGGTTAACACAGCTTAAATATTTTACATTGTACATTGGCAAAGTATATCTTTGTAAGTTTACAGTAGAAACCACTAGTATAGGTTTACATAAGTTACATTTTGTAAGTTTACAGTTTACCATTAGTGCAGATTTATAAGTTATATTTTGTAAGTTTACAGTTTACCATTAGTGCAGACTTATATGTTATATTTTGTAAGTTTACAGTTTACCATTAGTGTAGGTTCATATGTTATATTTTGTAAGTTTACAGTTTACCATTAGTGCAGATTTATATGTTATATTTTGTAAGTTTACAGTTTACCATTAGTGTAGGTTTATATGTTATATTTTGTAAGTTTACAGTTTACCATTAGTGTAGGTTTATATGTTACATTTTGTAAGTTTACAGTTTACCATTAGTGCAGGTTTATATGTTATATTTTGTAAGTTTACAGTTTACCATTAGTGCAGATTTATATGTTATATTTTGTAAGTTTACAGTTTACCATTAGTGTAGGTTTATATGTTATATTTTGTAAGTTTAAAGTTTACCATTAGTGTAGGTTTATATGTTATATTTTGTAAGTTTACAGTTTACCATTAGTGTAGGTTTATATGTTATATTTTCCTACGTTTATAATAACAACTCTCCTAAAATAAAATATTTTGTGTGTTTGTGTATTATTATGAAATTATTCCCTTTTTATTATAACACTGAAATTTGACGTATGTATATATATATAAAAAAAAAGATTTTAACTGACTTGCACATTAGCCACCAAATGTGTGTCCGAAACAAACAGTTATGATTATCAAACAGTGAAAACTGAAGTTTCCATTAAAATAATCACAGACTATTTTACAAATAAACATTTAGTAAGGGATGAGGGTTAGTGTGCTGTTTTGAAATTAGTGTGTATCTTAATCTTTTAATTGAACCATTTAAACTCTGCATTGCATGTTGTACAACGAAATACAAATAATCCCTTTTATTGAACTTCTCCTGGGGACTAGATTTTGATGAGACTTGGAACACCTAACGTCTTTATAGACATGCCTGGAAATAATATGAACGCTGTAAGTTTTCAGTTCTGGTTTCAACAGTGGACTTGGTGTTTACTGAAATGAAATTAACTAGCTTACAGTGTGATACCTTTGATTTACAAAATCTGTTAAGTGCTTCAAAATGTGGTTTTCATACAGGATCTATAGAGATAAGCCAATTAAAGCTAAATACATTTATATACTTACATTGACAAATGGAGATATGGCGAAGATTAAGCCGGATAAGCAATATATTGACACTGATTTGTCTTCTCGATAGCATATTTATACACGTATATAAGAAGCTATAAAATTAACGGATGCCAATGTTTTGCCAGAGAAATGAAGTCATAAAGAACAACTTGAAGAAACTGTTTTGTTGAAACAAATGATTATCATGTTCAGACCTTTTCTATGTGCAAAGCTCCAACTTTTGCACTTCACAAATGTGAAAAATTACAAAAATCAATATTTCAAATGAGATTAACGTTAAAAATCCGCAAACCGAGCTATTAACAGTAACGATTGGCCATAGTTATTTTAACTACAAACGTTGAACACTTTTATATTGATCGAAGAATAGTTTAAAGGTTTTCATTCTAGTAACTACGAATAAACACTTGAAACCCTTTTCTTAACCTAATTAAAATGCTTTAAATGATTAGATTATAACGCAATTTGAACATGTGTAACAGATTCCATTGCCATCAGGGCCACGCACTATTGTTAAAGTCTCAATGCTGTTTCTACCTTGCAAAGGAATATTCCTCAATGTACAACTGCTAAACAGTCGTCATCGTCTACCTTTGTCAGCTATTCGTCGTGTTAAGTATAATTGAATCATGATAGAATAATTGTATAAACACCAATATTAGTCTACCTTTCTCAGCTATTTGTCGTGTTAAGTATCACTGAGTCATGATAGAAAAATTGTATAAACACCAATATTAGTCTACCTTTCTCAGCTATTTGTCGTGTTAAGTATCACTGAGTCATGATAGAAAAATTGTATAAACACCAATATTAGTCTACCTTTCTCAGCTATTCGTCGTGTTAAGTATCACTGAGTCATGATAGAAAAATTGTATAAACACCAATATTAGTCTACCTTTCTCAGCTATTCGTCGTGTTAAGTATCACTGAGTCATGATAGAAAAATTGTATAAACACCAATATTAGTCTACCTTTCTCAGCTATTCGTCGTGTTAAGTATCAC